TTTTTCTTGTTAATTTAACAGCTAGTTTCAAAAAACCTTTTAAATTAATTTAAAAAATGTGTGTAAATACAGATGCACGTAGCTTAAAACTCCTGAATAGCTGCATTTGGGAGCTTTTGAGGAGAGCACCTTCCAGCGTGGCCCACAGGTGTGGGCACGAGGGTCCATGCCAGTACAGCGGCAGCACGCGGAGAGGCAAGGCAAAGCCTGGCAATCCACGGGGCTGCCTGTGGCACAGGGTGGGAAGGAAGCCCTGTAGGCAAGGGGCTCTGGGGAACAACATCCCCGCTCACCTCGTGATGCTTTCAGGCAGGCTCAGGGCCTGGCACGTGTGATAGCATTTAAAATAGATTGAGCGAGTCTAACATGTGCTTTGCACATGGATTTTTAAGGTGAGAGAAAGTGGGGGCCAAGCCTCTGTAAATGCAAGTCTGCTGCCAGGAGACTCTCCTCTCTCTCTAACAAGACAAAGGATACAGCGCTTAATCCTCTGGGCTGTTAAACAGCTCGGGTGAAATCCTGGCTCCGTGGAAGTCCATGAGGAAAAGCTACCCTTTAACTTCAGTAGCGAATGCAGCTAACCTCTTGAATGGCTACAGCCCTCTGTCGGAGCCACCTTCGGTACCTGCAGGCCACGTGGGACCCGTCCCCATGTGCCCGCCCGCCCCACTACCTGCTCCTCAGCTCTGCCTGTTGCTAATTTGCCATGTCAGTAACGTTACTGGGGTGTTTGGGCAGCGGCCCTTCACAGGATTGCCTGCTGACCGTGGGAACCATCCCCCTCACTGGTGTACCTTAGAAAATGCTCTCGACACTGAGCTCAGCTGCCTCCACAAAATCTGCTGGAGACATCACCTCCTGCCACCGGTCCCTGGGTGGCCCGGGACCCTTAGTGGCTTCTGGGGTGCCTGGTGGGGGGTGACATACACCTCTAACCAGTCAGCGTGATCCTATCTGGTTCAATCATCAGCATCACTTTTAGCAGCTAAGCCATCAGCCCCGTTTGCTCAGCTGAATGTTTAGGCTGGGACATACGTCCTGGCAGCTTGTGATGGGAGAAGCCCTGCTCGTACGCACGGTGTGGTTAAATGCGAACTGGTTCCCTCTGAGTACCAAGGGAGGCACCTCTTAGCATTTCTGAGGAGAGAAAAGAGACAGTACTACTGGTCTTTTCTTATTCCAATAAATATATATGACATTTGATCTAGCAATGGTGTATCATTTAGGTAGCGTAGGGCAGTCTAGGCACTATAGAAATACTTGTATACCTTGTTAACCTGAAACCTGACATTTGGTTGTAGCTTATTTGGAGCCTTTTCCAAGACCACTAAATATTCCTGGACCTTGAACTACAAGATCCTCTAACACTGAGCGTGAGGAGGGAGGGTAGGGTGACACACAAATTTTTATGGGAGTAAAATCCTGTAGTTCCCTTGTGAATCTCGGAGACAGCTGCCTCAGCTCAAGCTGAGCTTGCATAGCCACACTGCTAATTCAGTGGGGTAAAAGGACATTCCAGAATTGCTCCGGGCACTACGAGATCATTGAAAAGTTTGTGAAAGATTTAGCCTTGCAAAGGAGATCTTACTTAACAGTTAGTGCTGTGCAGGTAAGAGCACTGGGAGGGAAAAGCAGGGAGGCACATTGGCTCAGGCACACACCATGCAAGTTCTGGTGTCTCCTGCATCCTCTGCGAGATGAAGAGGATCTGAGGTGGCTGGAAATGGGGCAGCATCGCCTTGTCCAACCTTGTGTCCCTTCCCAGACTGGTCCCTGTGCTGCCCCCCCTCCCCCCCGAAGATGCTCGCAGCGGCTGTGGCAGCTGGGCCCTGGCATGGAGGGCTGCATGGAGGAGCTGTCATTGCACTTCTCTGGCCCCAGGACAAGGTGTATGAGGAATACAATGGCCTCACGCAACCATGGCCATGTGCTAGCGCTTGAGCTGTTTCTCAGAGCAATCTCTTTGTGGACCTGTGGATTTACACAGCAACTGCACTCCCCTCCCATACCTTCTCCCTCTAAATTGAGGAGAGTAATTCCCAACCCAGTGAAAGCCAGAGGAAATGTTTTGCTGCCTCACCATGCACATGAGCCTCGACACTGACCATGACTGTGGCAAAGCAAACACCAGGCGCTCCCTGGGGCAGTGAGCTGTGCTGGGAAGCTATTGTCTGCTGGGGTGCACCTCCAGCCAGGTGACCAGAGAGCAGGCAAAGACGCCCAGCATGGCATCGCTGTGCTGTTGGGAAGAGAGGCATTCCCTTCACAGGCCTCTACGGCTCCGTGCTTCACCTCAGACTGCAAGATGGAGAGGAAACAGGGTAGAAGGAAACGGGATAAAATTGCTTGCTTTCTAGCCTCAGGTATCTTCCCAACCCTGTTCCCCTTTCAGCTGTGGGAAGCCGTGGCTCCTGCTAAGAGGATGGGAGCAGCCTGAGAGGTGTCTCTTTGCTGGTGCCAGAGTCCCCTGCCCAGGGCAGAACAGATCTGAGCAACACTGTCGACAAATTAGGAGGGGAGGTTGTGTCTGTGTGTCTATGGGGGGTGACGGGATGGGGGGAGCCGCTGAAATGCCAACGGGCTCTTGCTCTTTGGAAAGGCAGAACTGGTGTCAGAAAAAGGAGTGGGGAGAAAAAATGCCCAGGTTATTGGGGAGGTGGCAGTGAGAGGGGATGCATCCCAACCCAGATCTCACTGGAAGAAGTGCTGCTCCACAGCCTCCCTCTCCCCGCCTGATCCCAGGAAGCTGGGAGCTGCCGTGTTCATGCTGCAAACACTCCACTTACGTTAACATATGTACTTTATATGCCTAGGGTAGCTAAAAGTGCTGCATTCAGATCCCCGAGGAGGCAACTACTGTCTGGAGTCCAAGCGGATGGATTTATTCGGCTGTCCCCATGTGCTCTCTCCGTGTCTCGTGGGCGCTGCACTGCAACCCTGTCATGTCGCCCAGGAGATAGCGGCGCTGTGCTCCTTCGCTTTCATCCTCAGGGCAGCGATGCTGGACGTCTTGCGGTCCGGCTCGCTGTTCAGCTCGTAGCCGTTGAGGCCAGGGCTCATCCCGGCTGTGCCGAAGAGGCCGCCCATGTGAGTCTGTCCCACGTGGCTGCCAGGGCCAGAGACGCCGAGGAACTCGGAGACGCCGCCGGCCGCGTGGGGATGAGCATGGGGGGACATGCAGGAGGGCACCGTCTCGCAGGGGACGACGCAGGCGGGCACGGGGGAGGCAGCTCCATTGTTGCCGATCCAGGAGGGGTTCTGGATCTGGGGGTGGGAAAAGAAGCGTCAGGGCAGCCTTGTGCATGAGGGGCAGCTGGTGCTGTGAGATGAGGTACACTGGCCCCCGCCAGCAGCATCCCCCCCCAGAGCCAGTGGGTGCCCTCCAAAATCCATATGCTAGCCCGGACAGGGGCAGAGAGTGTGGGAGACTAGCTCACAAGAGGGCAGAACTGTGCCCCTCCTCTGATGTAGTGTCTCCCTGTTAATCTGTTCCCCCTCCCAGCCATTTATCTTTTATTTTTTTTGCACCATGAGCACTTTCTGGAGCAGGGTTGCTCTTGGCACAGAAAACCCGGTGCTACCCACGGTGTTTCTGTGGGCCTACCCACTACAGAGGGAACAGGCAGAAGGGGCTGCTGCAAGACTGCCGATCCACCCTCCTGCCCCAGCTGGGGGTAGCTTTGCACAGGCAAAGGCTTTTTTGTACCACGCAGACATGTCCATCGGAGCTGAGCTGCCTGCAGCCCCCAGTACAGGCAGTTTCCCTGCCCCTCTCCGCAGCAGGGCTTGCTCCCCGTTGCAGAAGCGTCACCCTCCTTGCTGCAGAGCAGAGCCTTTCGGGACCGCCTCGCACGGCCGTCCAGGCTCCTGCAGCGTCACTCATAAAATGGTATTGCAGAAGAAGAAGAGAGGGGGGCTCAGTATTTGCCAGCAGGAGTAGGTGTGCTGCGGCGGGGGGGGTGGGGACGGACATGGGCATGCAGGATGAAAGCAGGGACAAGGCGAGCAGCTGGCTGGAGCAGGAGAGCAAAGGGCCCTTCATCCCACCGCCCTGCTGCACCGCTCACCCTTGGGCCCTCTCTGATCTCTTACCTCCTGCAAATTGCTTTTCATTTTTTTGATCTCAGGCTGGGAGAGGAGGGCGGTGTGGAGGGAGGGAGCAGTGTAAGTTACAAAGACAAGAGAATGGAGTGCTGAAAAGGCTGCTGAGAGTGTCCTCTGCTTGAAAAGCTGCTTTGGCATCTCTCAGCTGTTTTATAAGGGCTTCTTGTTCAGTTCAGGGGAGACACCAAGCAGGAGAGAGGTCAAACGCTCTTGGCTTAGCTGCGAGGGAGCTTTGGTGCGGTGCTGGCTGGGAAGGTAGCTGACAGCCAGGGTGTCAGAGGGGGAGGACTCCCAGCAGATCTGTGAGGACAAGTCAGGTTCAGAGCATCATGCCAGCAGAACTGCGCCCTCAAGCAAATTCTGGGTAGTGGGAAGAGGAGTCGGCAGGATGGAAGGAGTGCTTGGCGGGGGCACAGCCTAGCCCTCAAGCTAACAAACGCCTGTCTGCCCTGTCAGCATCTGAAGGCAATGTTGTAAAACAGAGGCTGGCCCAATGCTTAGGAGGCTACTGGGGTGACAGGTTTCCCGGGACGGGAAACTAAGGCAGGGAGGCAGCTGTGTCACCTGCCTCCTGGGCCAGGGCAGGAATGGTCTCAATAGGCCTCAGGAGCAGTCCCAGATACCCCAACAAGGCTGCTCCCACTTCCCCCTTCCTTTGGAGCACAAACACACAAGCCCCTTGGGAAGCATCCCCAGACGTCACCGAGTGTGCTGCAGGTACCACAGCCCATCCCTGGGAGATGGCTGTGGGAATTTGCCAGGGAAAATTGCTTTTGTCCAATTGCCTGAAGAAGGGGCATGGAAACCTAGGCATGGCAACAGGAAGCCTTCCTGGGAACTGCTGTTTTTTTACATGAACTAGCCTTTTCAACCTCTTCCAAACCAGTAGGAAGTTAGTGGGTAGCGGCGCACGTGATGGAAGGAGGACAGTGTAATAGGACATGCTGAGCAGAGTGACCTGTGTCCAAAGGGTGGCTGCACCATGTCACACAGGGCTGGGCTTGGCGTCTGCTTTAGAGATGGTTGCTCTGGGCCAGGGCATGAGGGAACTGGGCAGGACACCCAGCTAAATAGCTCCTGACCCTTCGGTGCTTGGCAATACAGCCTTAGCGTTCTTGCAGCCTTGCCTGAAGGCAGGTGGATGAACCCACGAAGCAAAGCGTCACTTGGTGGGGACTGGGAGCAGAGGCGGTGTGTCCAGAAGGCATTGGGAGAGACAGACCAGGGTGGGGGGATGTGCTCACCTGGGCGTAGTTCTCAGCACGAGTGAGCAGGGGCAGCTCGTAGGCAGTGGAGAAGTGGGTCCGGACCTGCTGCATCTGCCCGAACCGCTCCCGCTTGCGCCATTTTGCTCGCCGGTTCTGAAACCACACCTGGGGAGAGGGCAACAGGGAGCTGTGAACAGGGCGGCCAACAGTGGCTGGGAGCCCGGCAGACCTGGGGACCCCACCAGCAGACAGCTTTTGGTGTCCTGCCTCCCACAGCCTGGTTTGCCCTGGGATAACCCATCTTCCCCGTGCCCCTAAATCAGTGTTACCCGGGGCTGCCCACAGCTCTCATGTCATCAGCCAGCCTCAGACAAGAAGTGTGAATACATCCATGTGTGCTGCTGCCAGGCTGAAACCAGCAGCGCTGAGGCTTTCCCCAAGCCTAATCCTGGCTATGATAGTGCCACTGGCTGAGAGCTTGCTTTTCTCACTGAACTCTCAGTCTTATTTTTCTTAACTGTTAAAAAAAAAAAAACGCATAACACACCTTTCCTCCTTAGCCGCAGGAAAGGACACATGCCCTCTACAGAGTTACATGTCCTTTGCTTTACACCAAATTTTCTTCGCAGGGTTTGCAGCTCTCTGCTTCACAGTGCTGCTCAGATCCCTTCAAGGCAGAGGAAAGACCAAAACTGTGTTTCTACTCTTATTTTTACTGGCTTGACATCAGTGTGGATTATTGCACTGTTGTCAGCACCATTGCTCCTGATTTGCATCAGCATAAGAGAGATCAGAGCCTGGCCCAGTGTCTTCAAAGCCTCTTGAAGCTTGCGAGTCAGGGAAACACATCAATCAAGAACCGCTTTGAAGACACTGAGAGATGCAGGCGATCACCAGGGGCTGGGTTGTGCAGGTCACGCCAGTGGATGAAAGGAGCAGTCCTAGAGCCGCTCGGTTCTGCTTCGAGTTTTACACGGTGACTCGCGGGGCGGGGGGGGGCATCACTAACGAACAGCTTGGCCCTGCCTGTGCCTGGCCGTGGGGCAGCTCCGCTGCTTGGCAGGGACCTAGGGAAACCAGACACCGGGTGGGAAGCTCACGTCTTTGGAGTCTAGCGGGGCGAGCCGGGTGCTCAGCACAGGGTAGGGCGGCAGGATGGCTTTCGGGGGGCAGGAGAGCGGTGGCATTTGCAGCCTGCATCAGCTCGAGGGTCTGTGGTTTCTGGTCTGAGCTGACCTCCTTGCTTGTGATAGAAGAGTCATTTAAGGCTCTCCTGCTCCAGTTTCCCCCTCCCCACCATGCAGGCAGCCTCGTGCCGGCCTCTCGCAGCTCCCTACTGCAGCCAGCCCTGTGATACGAGTGGGCAGCTGAGGATCTCGCCACGTGTTGTGGTCTGCTCGGTGCAGGGAGTGGACAGTGCAGCACCCAGGCCTGTTGTTCCCATGTGGGCTGTGGATGGTGTAGGGTTTAGTGCCCTGCTTCGTGGCCATGGCAATGTCACTGGCATGGGCCATCCACAACCTGGCCAGACTAGCCATACTCAAAGCACCAACCTGATATTAACCCCCCACCCCGAGTCAAAAACCCTATGAGGATTTTCAGCAGGTGCAAAAAGAACCAGCAGAAAGGTCCCAACTTTATCCCAGCTGAGCAC